TCATAAAAAATAGTCTTACAAGCATATTATCAGTAGATTCTCTTAAATCATCGCCTCGTCTCTCTGCGAGTATGCGTTGTAATCTTCTAACAATATTCATTCATAAAACTTTTAAAAATGAAAAAAAAAACAACATAATTATGCTAAACTTACGCAAACAGCAGCGATGCGCATATTTTGTTGATGGTCTTTCTCTTTGTTATTTAATGAAATGAGTAGCAGTTAGATGCTGTTGCTACCAGCAATAACTTCTTGTATTAAACAATAGAATATTTTATTATTAAGATGTTTATGCATTTTTATTGTAATTGTAACTAATGCGGAGGATGAGGACAAACTTAGTTTCCAAAGTTATACATACGAATATTGTCTGTGCGTGACGAGAAAAAAATTCATGTCGTTATCAACACGAGATAGCAGCTGTATGCAGAATTAAAAGAAAAAGAACTCTTTTTACAACATTTTGCCATATATTAATATGAAATTTATTTTAAAGATAAACGCGTTTCGAATATCCATTTTAACTTGCTTTCATCAAGTCACTGCAACATCTGCATTATCTTTAACATCTGAGAGAAGTGTGATGCCATTCGGTTTGCTAGTTCATCAACAAGGTCGTCTGGTGTAATTGATGAAAATTGTTGCCCTGGAAAGTACCTAAAACATATACTAAACCAAAAAAATCAGAATATACTCACAGCAAGTATACACAAAGGTTGCCTGAAAATTTTCTCACCTAAATAAAAAAAAAAAATTACTTTGCACTTTGTTTATCAATATAGTCTGGTCCTGAAGAATGACATGATCGGTTCAAGTCCTCTTTAATGCTCCCATGTTTCTTTTTCTAGTTAATGAATTCTCAAGACCGTCAAGATACATTTTAAGTTTACGCAATGCCCTCAACAATTCATTCAAAGCCGTGTCTCTAAAGCATCCTTTTGAAAAATGAAAAGAATATGGTCTGGTGGGTGTGGCAGCAACTTGAACTTCTATCCATCGGTATCCTATGTGCCTGCGTTGTCATCGGCCTATGGCCCAATATTATTGTTCCACTGCAAGGAAACGCGATATCGACCAGAGCAGTCTCATGTCGAAATATTCATACAATGTATGACAAAAGACATCTTTTGGATATGTTCTTAGGCCATCGGAGCTATTTCACTATTTGGTCAACTTGAGACATATTTTCAATGAAAGCGAATTTTTACTGTCACCCATGACGGACTATACGGGCACCTTTCAATTCGGCTACCCAAAATTCCGGCAGTTTCAACGATGGTGCAAAACTCCCGCACACGCCGTCGAACTCACTTGTTGCCTTCTAAGAGCAAATACTTTATGTCAGTCTAATACTCAACTTTTTCCATCGTCACGAAGACACTTAAATCGACTCGTCCAAACGATTGTCAAACAACAATTACGCATCCAAAGTACTCCCCAATGTTTCTGGACAAATGCTGCTATCTCCATGTTTTAGGTTAGGAACTTTTCCAAAAGCTTCCAATAAGCTTCCAAGTTGGTGTAACTTTGTCTGTATGTCCGTATTGGAATGCTGACAATTGTAAAAATTGAGTTCGAATGCTAAAACTAAAACCATACACCCTCTAGGTTGATGGTTACGGACGCAGTCTTCCGCGATCTCACAGCAAACAATAACCCAAAAAATTTACGCATACATATAATAAAAACGCAAAAAACACGTATACGTATAATTCGCCCACAAACCCAATAAGCGATATGCGATAATTAGTATCTTCAAGGATATTCCATTATTAAATAGCGGAAAAATAGAGGTTCAGTTACAAAGCCAACATACAATTAAGCATCGGTCCACCAAACAATCCAAGACCTTTTATCGAATTTTAAAAATTTCATAATTAACGACGATTCGCCTTATGGCGAATATGCCTTTTTTTTTTTTTTTATTCACAACCGACGAAGGGTGAGAGTACATGCATTTTATGCATACTATGCAAGTTTCGTAACACTGAGAAGGAAACTTCAGCGACTCTTCAAAGCATACATAATCATGCCCAGTATAAAGTACATTTCCCTCGGTTTGCCTGTTCATCCGAATAGTATTCTTAGTAAACATTTCCATGTCGTAATAACTGAGATATCGATTTCAAATTTCTCATACCCAAATTGAGAAATGCCCGCTTGCGCTGGATGAATAAATGATTGCTTACTTTAGACAATAGCCAAAAGTTTAAATAAGTTGCATGCTCTTAGGAGTTATTATTAGTAATTGTTTTTTTTTTTTTTATCAAATTTTGTTGGTTTTCTTGCAAAAGTCGTTCATTTTCCTTTCGCGAGCAAGATAAGTAGGATGGCTCCCTAAAAATAACCTGAGTAAAGCAGACATGTACCTGTTGATTTGATTGCTTCGTTTACAGCATACGGAAGTAAAGATATAAAGATATTTTGAATCGGCCTGAGTTGCCATTAGGCAAGATTCTCCACTATCAGCCCAATGGTCGTGGGTTCAAATCTCAAGTGCGGTAGAGTTTTTAATAAAACCGAAAGCCTTAAATGCTAGTGCCTTAAGACTTAAGTCCTAGAATTTATTTTCTGGCTAAATTTATAATAATAGTATAATAATAATGAGATATTTTGAATAACCATTGAATTCCAAGTCGCTGTATTAATCATGTGCTTCGTTCTTTTTCGCTCGCGATGTCCAAACTAGTTAAACTGAAATGCAATTTTCAAAAATAATTCGCTCGTAAAAGAATTCTTTGTTTACGTTCCATATCGCATTCCTTATCCAGATTCTGGCTCTCACTAACACAATAGCATAGTTAATTCTAAGAATGGATCCGGTTCATTTTCACGTTTGTTCCTTATTATGGATGCATTAGCTCTATATTCTTAATGCGTAAATCCCTGACGCGAGAAATGCAGTACAAGCTCAGCGTAGTTTTTATATATCTGCAAACATCACCTGCTTTCACAACTATACAGTCGTTGATGAAGGACAGGAAGACTGAAAAGGCTGATGGAGTCACAGAACAGAGCACATTATTAACCGAGCATTTACGGCTTGACTACGGAATCGAAGAAAGAGAAGAAGAATAGAGAACCTCAGAATCTTAATAGGGGGGGTGATAACCGTTTCGCGTAGGAATACGGTAAATTAAAATTGAAGAATTAACCGCACCAGTACCAGTTACATTAAAACGTTTCACTAATCTTTCATAGCTTCTTTACGTCCTTCGCTCTCTTTAGTTTATTAATTCGTGCTTGCTTACATAAGGTTCTTTTCAAAGGTTTTTTCAAAAGTTTCTTTTACTTTTCTGCTAATGGGCTTCGAGTTTCATGTCCTACTGAATAATACACGTAACAACAACAAAGTTACTGAAATTCAAACTAGTAATAATTAATTAATAATATTAAAAAAATTTCCTTTCGTAAAATTTGTTAATAAATTGTTTACAGGTTTTTTACTTCTTTTTAACCCGATTTAAAGGGGAATATAATATTGGATTTGGGAAACGACTCCACCGCTATTATCGGAGATTCCGTAACGTATCATTAATGTCAATTGAAATCATTTTTATTGTTTTTCTCAAAACTCTATCTGGAAAAATGTGTTTGGTCTCGAGAGTTTTCGTTCTTATTATCAATCGCATGACAAGCAATGGAGGCAGGGCGAGCGGTCATCAGAATATCCATCTCCCAAGCAGAATATAATTTATTTCTTACTATATCCTACAACCTAAATTGCGTTACGAAATATATCACATTTCTGCATATAAAATACAATCGACTTATACTCAAGCTTATATTATATATAAACCGATCATCTTCTAAGCCGAATGAAGGCTCGCTTCCTTTTCATTTATCTGCTTAATGTCTACCCAGATGTCTTCTCATCAATTCAATATACAGATAACAATCTCGGCCATATTTTGATAAAATTTAGTACAACAACAAACTCTGCTGAAAGTTGAATCGATTGGATTATGTTTATGACTCGTACCCGTTAAACGTCTTATCTTGAAATGGTCATTCCGCAATGATTTGGGACATTTAATGGTCGATCTCTTCTATAGATTTATGTTTATCATGTTTTTTTTTTTTTGATGAAATTTTATTCAATGAAAAACAAATAAGAAACTTATATTCGACGGGAGCCGAATCTCGCATACCCACCACTATGTTTTTCGCATTCTACGCTCCAAGTTCTTTTATTTGATACCCATATTGTTAGTGTTATTAAGAAAAAAGTCATCGCAGTGTCTATCATATTCATTTTTAGGCAGATAATATATCTTCATTTAAGGAGTGCACAAAATTTGTCGAAAATTTTTAGCACCAACCAACCTGCGTGCAGAAACTTCCTATGTTTCTAACAAATTTGAAGTCGATATTTTCAATTTCGGCGAGCAGAAGAGTGCCAACAACATGCACCTCACAGATACAGAGACGGACGGACATGTCTAAATCAACTCAGAAATGATGTCTGAAGGTGCCTTTTGGGTGCGGGTGTTACATGCATCAGGGAAGAATACAAAATAAGTATACTCACGCCATGTCACAGTGGTGGACTTATTTAATAAATCTTGACTTCGAAATATGTTCATCAAAAATTTGTTGGTAAAATTATATTACGAAAAATTATGTAAGAGATTTAATTTTTGCAATTTAAAGAGAGAATTTTCTCTTCTCAGACGGGATACGTGCATGCAGGTACATAAGCTCTTTTTCGATTGTTGTTCTCACCAGTCGACGCTCGTTGAATGTTTAGTATTAATCCCTGCTTCGACAGTGTAACATGAGCCTATTGTAAATGATTTCAGTTATTATAGAAATTTTTCGTTTGGTTTTAGTTTTAAAATTTCTGGCCTCTTTCACCTGATTGTGTGCATAATGACTTGTTGTGGCGGTAACATCAATCCATGTTAAATAACGTCTATGAAAGCAATTCATTTTTTCCTTTCACTTTTGTATTGAATTGACGTTGTTGTTATTATTTTCTTTCATATATCCTTCAATAGAAGATGATAAAGTTGGAACATTAGATGTTTTGCTCAGCAGCGCCTATTGTCGTTCGCAACGTTTTCTTTCGAAGCAATTAGCGCAATTACGTCCCGAATTGACAATGTCCATGTTCTCGGGTAAGCTTTACATCGTTAATCATCCAATCCATACGAAGTGTATCGTTCAGCGATATCAGCGTTAATCTCTTTGTCATTGCTCTGCTTACAGAAATCACGCATCGTTTTCAAACAGCACGTGAAGACGTACGCACTCTGCTGTTGCAATGTTTATTACCCTGGTTGCATAATATGGAATTAGTAGCTACCACGGTACCACCAGCTACCCCTCTCTCCTATATTATGGTAAGTGCGTAACATTGCCGAGCTGTTGTTCAATACACAATGTCTGTGCAATAACGGTTGTTATTTTAGTATTTTCCAGATTCGGGGACAAGGGGTCGTCGCGAAGGCGCTGGTTCTACCGAAGCCACCGAAATGATACTTAATAATTTATTTTATATAACGGCAAAGGTAAATTTATTTATATTTTTGTTTTTTCACGCTTTTATTTAAAATTCAATGACATCATGCTTCTTTTGCTTCTTTTTTTTTCTCTTTTTTTTTCTATTTACAGTTTTCGGATACCCATCCGCGGGACATTGAAGAATTATGGGGAACTTTATGCCAATTTTGGCCAAATAATTTAAAAGTTATTCTACGTTATTTGGTAATAATGAGCGGTATGGCGCCAAATGAACTCTTACCCTATGTAAGTTATTCTAGAAATATAAAAAAATCGAAAAAACTTACTTAAAATTGCTATACGGTAAAGCGTTAAATTCTTGAAATAATGAATGAAGGGAATAAATAGATTTCAATATATTCTTCTTCTTCTTCTTCTTCTTCAAATGTATATAACTTAAAGGCGATTACAATGTAGTAAAAATGTGAATCGAATAATAGACGAATGGAAAAATTACTTTGCTCGATCACATTTAACAAATTGTTTTGCATTGATTATTAAAGTTACATATATTTTAGATCATATAACAGAAAATGAAAGGTCGAAATAAGATGCCTTACTATTAAACGATTAGTTTTTTTTAAACGATTTTTTTTAAAGAATTTCGATTATTTACCATATCACATAAACGTATCCTTAAACGTTCTCTACATAGGCAATAAATATCGTCTAAACATTTTCTAATAAAATAAATGTCAGACATAAGGAGCCGATTTGGTCCATTTTAAAGCACACTCGGTGAGCATAAGTTTTACTTAGTGTTAATAAATAGTTGATGATCATAAAATATTTTTTGAAAATTTGCCTTCAAGCGTTCAGCAAGTTAGTTAAATTCAACGTTTTTCTTTACCGATGAATTGCTTAGGTTAAGTTCAGCGATGGACAACCGAAATTATTAGTCTGTCGAATAAAGTAATCAAAACTATCTATTAAATGATTTTTTTTTTTTAAATATGACCCGGTACACGACATGGGGAAGGAGGGAGACGATGCGGTCGAAACTTGAGTGGAATATGCCTAATCGGTAATATTAATTACTGATCGAGCACTCATTATGGTTGCCCACCATGCCCTGAATATGCTGATTAAGCGGTAGCTTGGTATTAAATAATGTCAGTCTTAATCGTTGTTAGGAAAAGTAGTTCGTTTTTCAATTTATAAAACTCGTCTGAAAATTATTGTATATATGCGTAAATTAGTTTTTTGGCCAGCTTTGCAATCACACTTGAAGAGGTATTTGTTATCATTTAAAGGCAAGCATATCAGTCGCACGTTTTCACCCTTTCCAATGTCATCTTCGTATACGACGCATTATTTTTTTGAAAGCTCGATGCATGCATTTATTATTTAT